TTTAATGCACCATTTTACTCACAAAATGACAACATCCTGCCACCAGGTGGCGGTGCACAGGGTTCAGAAGGATATTGCAGCTSGAGAAATTCACCTACATTTAGCAGCATTTTCACCTGCCTCTTTTGCTGCAACCCAGTTGAACTGGGAAGTAGGAGTTTCCTACTTGCAAGTTGTAAATTTAAACTGGAATGCCCCTCCAGTGGGACAACAGCATTAAAGTTAAATACAACTGGAGCGTCACCATAACACTCACGTGATGAAGCTGTCGACATGCATAGAAATATATAATACTTTTTACATGTGTCGTTTCTGTATAGACAATAAAGAATGTTTAAGGCTGATTATATTATCTCTTTATTTAAAACAATAATCCAAGCAGCATATTCTATAATTACATGCACAGCTTCTRTATAAAAAATATATGATTAAAAACATTTCTACATTCTGTCACACTAAAGACCACATCTTAACTTTCATTTCATTCACTTTAAATAAATAATGATCTATACATTAAGCTGCAATATGAAACAACAGAACAAAACAGAACAGGTGTAACATGTTTTTACTAGATGGAATCAGGAGAGGTAACAGTTTTTGACCTGTAGGTTATTGTCAGTGATTTGGATATAAACTTGCATTGTTTATTTATTGTTTTTATTAATTTATATTGTTCTCTCTCAACCCTCTGCGAGCAACAGTCTTCAGAAGCCGGATCTCGCACAGCAGAACGGACGCTTCCTGAAGACGTTACTCGCAAACGATACAGCAGTGATCAACAGAACAGAACATTTGCTCATAAATCGTCATGTTTCTGACTGAATCTGAACACAAAAGATCTGTAACAAAACATCTGTAACAAAAGATCTGTAACAAAAGATCTGTAACAAAACATCTGTAACAAAACATCTGCAAAACATGACGCTTGGTATTTGTTTACCGTTCAGCCCTGGACTGAACTTAAATCTGCTTCCACCGTGTTATCCAGGYGACAGTTCTGGGACAGATTTGTGTCGGTTTGGTTTAGTTTCTTCTGCAGCCTCTCACCGATGCTGTCCGCTCCCACTTTAATCACGACATCCGGGAGCTGCAGGATCTGCGTCGCCGAGGCCGAGGAAACCCAGCTGCTGATCCGCGAATGGAGCTCCGAGAAGTTGAGCTCCAACGTCTCTCTTTCCTTTTTGTCCCCTTCAGACGGGAGCTTGTGCACGATTCGACGCAGGCGCTTGATGTTCATTTTGTGGTGAGCGAAGAAAGCTGGGATGATCTCTTTGAAATATTCAGCTTTGTCTACAAAAAGATGATTATATGAAGTCAGTGCAAAGTAAGGTAGAAATGATAATCATACATTTAGCATAGAGACATTTGTTTTACATGCAGTAAAAGTTGGAAAGTCACAAATTTAGACCATCTAAATAAATGGAGAACCTGCCTGAAACTCCACATTCTGTGGGATTAAACTGAGAAACCTTCCTGAACAGGAAACAAAGTGTCTTTAACTWCAGTCCAGTTGTCCTGATGCATCTCAGTAATCCAGGTAAAAAATCAAAAAGAAAAAAAAATTGTATAGGTCTTCTGGACGGGTTCTTCTCTAATGAAACGTTTCGTCTCTCCTCCAAGAGACTTCTTCAGTCTGAGAGTATCAAGTCTAAAACTCGACAACAGAAGAAGTTTGCTTTACTGGAAACTCGACTCTCTCCGCGGTACACATC